AGGCAGCCCCCGAGCCCTTCAGGGCACAGGCTAGCACGCTGCCAGGGCATAGGGCTGGGACGCCCCACCAGAGCCCAGGTGCCCTCTTCCAAGGGGCTCCTTGCAGCCAGTCCCAGGTGCCAGGAGGCTGATGTGGTCAGCCCTGCAGTCACAGGCACGCCCACGACACAGCCCAGCCTGGCGCTACGGAGCTCGCAGATGAGGACACGGCCTGAGAGTGGCGAGCCAGGGCCGTGACCAATCCCGTCTGTGAGGAAAGGGGGCAATGCCTAGAACGGGCGCCCCCCCCCCCCCGTCTCCCCCGGGCGGGGCCTCCACTTCCCAGGGCTGGATGGAGGGGTAGGGGGTAATGGTGGGGATAGGAGAGTCGGGGAGTAATGGGGGAGGGGGCCAGGGGTGAGGCGGGATGGGAGTCTGGGGACACCGAGGCAGAGACGTGGAGAGGCAGCTGAGGAGAGGGAGGAGGCGGTGAGTCCACGGTGCTGGCCACGTCGGTATGGCTGCATGGGCAGAGGACGGAGGTGACGTGAGAGCGTGGGCAAACGCGCTGGTCCTGCCTCCGATCAGACAGGGCTCAGGCCAGGCCAGGTCCCCGGGTGCCCAGGTGGCGGGGCCCCCCTTCCCTGACCTGACTGTGGTGCCCGCTCCCTCAAACCGTCGGCCCTGCTGCCACGCTCGCTGTCCTGGGCTTGCAGGTCAGGGCAGCAGGGCGGCCTGTCAGGGTGAGCTCCTCCCCTGCAGCAGCTCCGGCTTCTCCCAGCCTCCATGCCCAACGTCCTCCAGGGCCCCGCACGGTCCCGGGTGGTCGCCAGCCACAACAGAAAGTCGTGAAGACACCAGGGCCGTGCGCCTCTGTGCCGACCCGCTGCTGCCCCAGGGAAAGCAGCTCACCCGTGCCCGCGCCGGGGTGACACACGCACACGTGTGCCTCGTGCCCGGCGCCTCACACCCCAGGAGAGCCGGCCGGGGCGGTGGGCCAGGGCACCCCCAGGCCACGCGGGCGCTCAGGCGCCTGCTCCCACGTGAGCTGTCCCTCCGTGAGGTCACAGTCCTCGGCCGGATCCGCCCACACCTGCCGAGGCACTCCGGGACGGCTCTCAGGGCGCAGTGGCTGCCACCCACGGTTCCCGCGCTCAGAGCTGAGTTTCCACCGTCTTACTCAGCTTTTCCACCGTGCTGAGGGCTCCCGGCAGCCCTGCCCTGCAGGTGGCATGTGACCGGCTGCCCAAAGAGGAAGCGGCCTCAGGGACTGCACAGGATGTGGCGCCCCACCCCCGCAGCCTGCAGAGGAGGGGCGCCCTTTCCCTGAGAGGCTGGAGGGCGGAAACGTGGCCCGGACCCTGCTTTCCCCTCCCTACCAGAGTCCACGCCCACACCTGGGAACGGCTGGGAGTGGGGAGTAGTCGGTGTAGTCCCTGCTGGCCCGTGGGCGCTGCAGAGAACAGCTGCGACTCCTCAGCCCAAAGCCCTCCAGGTGCCAGTCGGCCACAGGGCACATGCCCTCCCGCAGTGAGGCACAATCCGCAGACGCCGGCGAGCTCCCAGCTTCCACGGGGAGTGGTCTGAACGCCCCTGCATGGCAGGGACACTGCCGCTGTCACTGCGCCAGCTCCTCTGGGGTCTCATGTAACTTCACTGAGAAAAACGCGTGCCACGAGACGGTGGGGCCTGAGCACGGGGAACAGTCTGTGACCCCTCGTGCCTGGCTTGCAAGCCAAGGGTCCCACATTTCAGAATTCTCGTCTCTGGAAAGCGGCAGAGGTGACGTAGGCCACATCACACTTTGGGGTGGTGAACAGCACGCCCACCCCCCACGCAGCCTCAGAGCTGTGGCCTGCCCACTTGTGCAAACGCTGCAGACCCAGGAGGGGCGAAGGTGGCTCCGTCATCCCCGTGTGTCTCCAGGAAGCCCCCGGGGCTCAGGAAGCGAAAGCAGCAGCCCCAAGAGCCAGTGGGCTGGGCCTGCCCTGCTCCACCTGCCCTGGTGTATCGATGGCCACGGCCCTCCCAGCCCCGTGCCAAATGGTGCCGCCAGCAAACCTACAGGGTTAGACGTGACCTCCTAGAAAGCACTTACTAGGAAAGTCCCAGAGGGGCTGCCTGGGCCACCCTCAGAGCCCTGGGGTGACCACATACACGGGCCTTGGGGACTCAGGACCGCCAGTTCACTCTTCCCGCCCTGCCACCACGTGCCCCACCCC